GAATAAATCCAACTACGTAATATATATACTATTAATTTATTAAATAAAATTTTTTTAAAATGTCATTAGCACCAAAAGCATAATTTAATGCAATTAGCAAGCATCATTTAATGCTATTTAGCAGCAAAATTCTGGGCACATTAAAGTGCACTGACTTACGAAACCTTTGATTTTTTATCCTTCTTGGCCTCCTCCTTGATTAAATTAAATTTTTGTCCACCAACAGATTCTGCTCTTGATGCTATAACTTGCTCGATATTTCTATTTATAGCCGAAGTCAATTTCTGATGTTGGTAATATTATATATAATAATTATTATCATTAACCTTACGAGCAATTCATAATTACGAATGAGAAATTTAATATTATTATCATTATTTTAAAAAACGAACTTTTTGTATAGCTTTTTGTTTGATTGCTGATTGTCGTTTTGGTGCTATCACCTTCGCTGTTTTTATGAAATCAAAAAAGAAATTATAACGTCGATAATTTCACAATTCAAAAAAAGTGTAATTTATAAAAAAAAAAACTAGCCTCCTTTCTTTGGCCTGAGCACATTAGTTTTTTTATTAGATTTTCTGGAGCTTGTATTTGACGCTTTGAATTTTTCTTGACCTTGTACCATTATTTTTTTTTTCAAACTACTAGCGGATCAAAAATACTTGTGATGCTTGTGCGACCACAATATTTAAGTTTATTCTCACGTGATAGTATCGTTGTATTAAAGAACCTTTTTTTACATTTTTCATTTTAGATCAACTAGATCAAACTGAAGAAGATGGCCTTACGTGTTCCCAAGAGTAGTTATCCTCAGTTATTTAAGGAGGGATATAAGGTTCGTGTTTAATTTAAACCATAAGTAAAGAATAAAAAAAAGAGCAGTGTTCCTATACTTAAATATGCTGAAATAGATCAAAGTACGGACGCGACACTAATCTATCATGATTTTATTTTATCCTTAATTGTATATTTAGAACCTTCAAGGTGTTGACGAAGCTGTACTTAAAAATATTCAAGCTATACACGAACTATCAGAAATCGTTAGAACTTCTTTCGGCCCCAATGGTATTCTATTTCATAACCGGATAACTAAAGCTGATTGCAGAGGAAAATACTTATAAAGATTTGAATTTGACATTATAATAAAACAGGGAGGAATAAAATGGTGATCAACCATCTTGAAAAGCTTTTTGTTACTAACGATGCTGCCACAATTATTCGAGAATTAGAAGTCGTGCATCCAGCAGCAAAATTATTGGTAATGGCGAGTCAGCAGCAAGAGCAAGAGGTAATTGATTGTTTATTTCTCTTTAATACTCATTTTCCTTAAGAACCTTCCAAAAGATCATTTTGTATGATTATATGGATAACACCTAAACATATAGTGATGTAATAGGTCTTAAAGTCCAAATGTATCAATTAGTTTAAATGATTCCATATCGATGTAACATCTTTTTTGAAATGAAATTTCACTCAAATTATTTAAATTGTATTACAATTCTTTAGGTCGGTGATGCGACAAATTTTATTATAGTCTTTGCCGGCGAGCTACTACAAAAAGCTGAATACTTATTACGCATGGGGCTTCATCCAAGTGAAATTGTGCAAGGATATGAACTTGCAAGGGACAAAGCATTGGAAATTTTGGAAGGTCAATTTTTTGTTTCTATTTTATTATTAAACTTGACACATTCTTATTTTTTTAATTAATCGTTAATATGATTTATAGATCTCTGTGTGGAAACTGTAAAAGATCAGAAATCAAAAACAGAGCTTTTAAAAGCTGTCAAGACGGCCATTGCTTCTAAGCAATATGGAAATGATGATTTACTTACTGATTTAGTTATTGATGCTGCGCTTTTAATTATGCCAAAAAATCCTGCAAATTTCAATGTGGACAATATTCGTGTGGTTAAAATAATGGGTAGTAGTATTTATGAAAGTAAGGTGGTTAATGGTATGGTATTTGGTCGTGAACCTGAGGGTGTTGTTCATAAGGCGCATAAGGCCAAAATTGGAATTTTTACTTGTTCTTTGGACACCGCACAAACTGAAACAAAAGGGACTGTTTTGATTCACAGTGCACAAGAAATGTTAAATTTTACTAAAGGCGAAGAACAACAGTTGGAAAAGGCAATCTTAAATATAGGAAGTTTTCATAATTTCTTATTTTCAAATTTTAGAAATCTTAACTGGAAATATAACTTAAAGTAGCTTGTCGATATATCTAACAATCTAGCAAAAGTTCATAGATCAGAATATATTCATGGAG